GGATAGGATTACACTTCTTTTGAAAAAGCAGGTTCCTAGGTATGGAAGTGTGTGCTCTGGAACTCAAGATAGATGCTACAGCCCAGATGCCTTCGCCCAATAACAACTGCAATCTTTTCTAGACTGAGTGGGTGTCATCACTACAGAGCTAGACCACTGCAATGCACTCTATATGAGACCAGTCTGCAGAAAATTCAGAAGCTACAATTGGTCCACAATGCTATGGTACATCTGCTAAAAAGTATTAAGGGATTTAACAGGAATACACCAATTCTAGTATTACTGCATTGGTTTGTTGTTGTTAATTGCGAAGTCGTGTCCGACCCATCGCGACCCCATGGACAACGTTCCTCCAGGTCTTCCTGTCCTCTACCATCTTCTGGAGTCCATTTAAATTCACACCTACTGCTTCAGTGACTCCATCCAGCCATCTCATTCTCTGTCGTCCCTTTCTTCTATTGCCCTCAATCTTTCCCACCATTAGGCTCTTCTCCAGTGAATCCTTCCTTCCCATTAGGTGGCCAAAGTACTTGAGTTTCAACTTCAGGATCTGGCCTTCTAAAGAGCAGTCGGGGTTGATCTCTTCTAGGACTGACCGGTTTGAACGCCTTGCAGTCCAAGGGACTCGCAGGAGTCTTCTCCAGCACCATAGTTCAAAGGCCTCAATTCTTTGGCGCTCAGCCTTTCTTATGGTCCAACTTTCACAGCCATACATTGCAACTGGGACAACCATGGCCTGGACTATACGCACTTTTGTTGGCAGGGTGATGTCTCTGCTTTTTAGTATGCTGTCTAGATTTGCCATAGCTTTCCTCCCCAGGAGCAAGCATCTTTTAATTTCTTGGCTGCAGTCCCCATCTGAGGTGATCTTTGAGCCCAGAAAAATAAAATCTGTCACTACCTCCATTTTTCCCCATCTATTTGCCAGGAATTGAGAGGGCCGGATGCCATGATTTTGGTTTTCTTAATGTTGAGTTTCAAGCCAACTTTTGCACTCTCCTTCTTCACCCGCATCAAGAGGCTCTTTAGTTCCTCTTCACTTTCTGCCATTAGAGTGGTATCATCTGCATATCTTAGGTTGTTGATATTTCTCCCGGCAATCTTAATTCCAACTTTTGATTCATCTAGGCCTGCCTTTCTCATGATGTGCTCTGCATATAAGTTAAATAGGCAGGGTGACAGTATACAGCCTTGCCGGACTCCTTTTCCAATTTTGAACCAATCAGTGGTTCCGTGTTCGGTTCTCACTGTTGCTTCTTGACCCACATATAGGTTTCTACAGAGACAAATGAGATGGTCTGGTACTCCCATCTCTTTAAGGACTTGCCACAATTTGTTGTGATCCACACAATCAAAGGCTTTTGCATAGTCAATGAAGCAGAAGTAGATGTTTTTCTGGAACTCCCTAGCTTTCTCCATGATCCAGCGTATGTTGGCAATTTGATCTATAGTTCCTCTGCCTCTTCGAAATCCTGCCTGTACTTCTGGTAGTTCTCGATCCACATACTGCTGGAGTCTAGCTTGTAGGATTTTAAGCATAACTTTACTAGCATGTGAAATGAGTGCAATGGTGCGATAGTTTGAACATTCTTTGGCATTGCCTTTCTTTGGAATTGGAATGTAAACTGACCTTTTCCAATCCCGTGGCCACTGTTGAGTTTTCAAATTTGCTGGCAAATTGAGTGTAGCACTTTTACTGCATCTTCTTTTAAGATTTTGAATAGCTCAGCTGGAATACTGTCACCTCCACTAGCTTTGTTGTTGCTCAGATTTTCTAAGGCCCATTTCACTTCACATTCTAGGATGTCTGGTTCGAGGTCAAGGACCATCTCATTGTGGTTATCTGGGATGTTAAGCTCATTCTTGTATAGTTCTTCTGTGTAGTTTTGCCATCTCTTCTTAATCTCTTCTGCCTCTGTTAGGTCTCTGCCATTTTGGTCCATTATCATGCCCATCTTTGCATGAAACGTTCCCTTCATATCTCCAATTTTCTTGAAGAGATCTCTGGTCCTCCCTATTCTGTTGTTTTCTTCTATTTCTTTGCACTGTTCATTTAAGAAGGCATTCTTATCTCTTCTAGCTACTCTCTGGAATTCTGCATTCAATTTGGTGTATCTTTCTCTTTCTCCTTTGCCTTTTGCTTCCCTTCTTTCCTCCGCTATTTGCAAAGCTTCCTCAGACAGCCATTTTGCTTTCTTGCATTTCTTTTTCTTTGGGATGGTTTTAGTTGCTACCTCTTGTACAATGTTGCGAACTTCCATCCATAGTTCTTCAGGCACTCTGTCTATCAGATCTAATTCCTTAAATCTATTTGTCACCTCTACTGTATATTCATCAGGAATATGATTTAGTTCATACCTGAGTGGCCTAGTGCTTTCCCTACTTTTTTCAATTTAAGCCTAAATTTTGCAACGAGAAGCTCATGATCTGAGCCACAGTCAGCTCCTGGTCTTGTTTTTACTGACTGTATAGAGCTTCTCCATCTTTGGCTGCAGAGCACATAGTCAATCTGATTTCTATGTTGACCGTCTGGTGATGTCAATGTGTAGAGCCATCTCTTGGGTTGTTGGAAAAGAGTGTTTGTTATGACCATCGTATTCTCTTGACAAAATTCTATCAGCCTGTGCCCTGCTTCATTTTGTACTCCAAGTCCAAACTTGCCCGTTATTCCGGTTATCTTTTGGCTTCCTACCTTAGCATTCCAATCCCCCATGATGATAAGGACATCATTTTTGGTGTTAATTCTATAAGGTGCTGTAGGGCTTCATAGAACCGGTCACTTTCATCCTCTTCAGCACCAGTGGTTGGTGCATAGATTTGGACTACTGTGATATTGAATGGTTTGCCTTGGATTCGAATAGAGATCATTCTGTCATTTTGAGGATTGTATCCCAGTATTGCTTTTCCTATTCTTTTATTGACTATGAAGGCTACTCCATTTCTTCTGAGGGATTCTTGCCCACAGTAGTATACCTGATGGTCATCTGAGTTAAATTCACCCATTCCTGTCCATTTTAGTTCGATGATTCCTAAGATGTCGATGTTCAGTCTTGTCATCTCTTTTTTGACTACGTCTAGCTTGCCTTGATTCATGGATCTTACATTCCAGGTTCCTATGGAGAAAAAATCTTTACAGCATCGGACTTTCCTTTCACCACCAGATATATCCACAGCTGAGCGTCCTTTCAGCTTTGGCCCAGTCGCTCCATTCTTTCTGGCGCTACTAGTACTAGCCCTCTGCTCTTCCCCAGTAGCATATTGGACACCTTCCGACCTGAGGGGCTCATCTTCCAGCGTCATATCTTTTTTCCTTTTAGTATTGTCCATGGGGTTTTCATGGCAAAGATACTGGAGTGGTTTGCCATTTCCTTCTCCAGTGGATCACATTTTGTCAGAACTCTCTGCTATAACCTGTCCGTCTTGGGTGGCCCTGCACGGCATAGCTTATAGCTTCATTGAGTTACGCAAGCCCCTTCGCCACGACAAGGCAGTAATCCATAAAGGGGACTGCATTGGTTACCAGTTTGCTTCTGCATTCAACAAAGCCCTACATGGCTTGGCCACTGAGTACTTAGAGGATTATCTTCCCCCAAAGACCTGTCCCATGCATGTTTTCAGGAGGAGATGCTAAGAGTCTCTTTCCCATATGATATGAAGATATTGGTGTGTGTGTGTGTGTGTGTGTGTGTGTGTGTGTGTGTGTGTGAACATCCTTTTGGTGGCTGCCCCCATAATTTGGACTACCTTGACTTCTAATGTCTATGGAGCTCCTAAGTTTGCAGCCCATAAGAAGGCATTTAAGACCTTTCTATTTTTCAGCATACTTGGGTCAGAATCATGATAGGATGCTTTTAGTTTATTATTTGTAGCTATTATTTATTGTTTGTAAACTGTCTTTGGTTTTGTGAATTAGGTGAGTTCATACATTTTTACATGAATAAAGATAGAAAAAACAGCATGGGGGAAAAAGCATCCAGAACTGATGGAACAGGACTTTTTGAGTAGGATAGAGAGAGACCAAGCTGAACATCCAAAAGTGCTGTTTTGTTGAGCACTCATTAGTTATTATTTTTATGTATTTTAGCCATTATACGTAATATATAATCTTAAGTCAAGGTGACTGGTTGCCCATATACCCTGCCTGTTTTAATTCTGCCAGCAATACAAAAAATAAGATAGGTTAGACAGAATAATTAGCTCAACATCACCTATTTATTTTGATAGCTGAACAGATCAATGCAGTTGTCATACCTTAAATTCCAATATTCAAATACATTCACTGTTTCACCATTTATAGCTTTGTGTGGCTTATCATGATCAGATATATTTAGGTCCTAATCGAAATGGAATCATTCATGCTCATTTCATTTTAGGTTTTTCTGGATGTCTTTCCAGATTTCAGATCTGAAACAAACCCTTGAGACAATTTTTTTTCATACATGGTGTGTATGGAAAAAAAAAAAGTAGCATATTCCAGTTAGCACTGAAGCTGAAGAATAGTTAAATTCACAACAGAGACACTGACCAGTATTACTATTTTTGGAGGACTTCGGTTGTGGTCTCTTTGATCAGCACTTTTTAATTAACATTCATTCTTCTTTCTGCAACGAGGAAACCCAAAGTGGTGACAACATAGGCCTCGCCAAATAATATACTGCACCTATCATCCAGTTTATATACAGTATGTATTTTGGCACACTTTGAAATCTGGTTTCCCTTTTAAAAGTTGTTCCCAAACTTGTTGAGCAGTTTCCTTCTCGGTTGATCTAAATCTTTCCTCTAAATTCTTGAGTGTACCAAACAATTAGTTAAATTTTGCTAGAGATTTTAGTTCTTAGGCTTGGCTCTTAGGCTTCCCATTAAAAAAAAGAGGCTTCTTTTTTTCTCCACGATCTCTGCTACTTGAATTATAGTCATCAGTGTTGTCTAATATCTGAGCAATTAGAAAAGGAACAATTGTGAATGTGATGCATCAAATCAATGAAATTATACACTCCCAGAAGCTAATCAAAATCCTTTTTAATGTCCATTTGATTTGCATTAGTTAAATACAAATACTTCTTCTCTTCTACCTGCTTTGATGTACTTGTCATCCAGGGATAGGTCATACGATTAAGTATATTGATTTTGTCTACCCAGAATTAACTTATATTGTACTAAAGTTCTCCATAGAAAAATTTCCTTTGGCTTCCTTAAAATCACCTTAAAGTTTCCATATTAATTATTATTCTCTGGAACTGGGGCACCAGTTGATGATGAAATAAATGTTCAAATGGGAAAGAATACACATGACCCTGCATTCTGAGTGCTATTCTATATACAGTATGTCCTTTTCAGTAATAATCATATGATTCATCACTCTCCCAGTCATCATTTGATCCCAGGTTGGTCCCTTTGAGTAGAGCCAATGAAGTTGAATTCAGTTGATCTGCAAATATAGGACACAAAGCATACGGTTACCATCTGAAATGAGTTACTGTCCTTCTTTATCTACTGCTAAGAATAGTTGACTAAAATAATTACATTTCCAAAAAATAATGTATAATAAATCATTTTAACTGGATAATGGGTGCTGTCTGTGAATTTTACAATCTATCAGCATAGTTGTAACTGTTAAACAATTTGTCAGGTAATTAGCATATTGACTGCAGATGTTTCAGATAATTTGCAGTGACCACGCTAGCAGAATCTGATAGCAGCTGAACTCCAAAACATCTGGAGGAAGTCATCTATCCTTTTGCTAACAATGGGACAAAGGCTACTATTTTGATGGCAATGCCATGCATTTACAAAGTACTGTTTGAAATGCAAAGAAGAAACATAATTCCATTTCTTTACAAAACACTATTTATATTTTTTAATATATCAGCAGCATTTTATGGAGCACAAAAATAAATAATTTACTTGGGAAATTAGAGAAAGATTTCCAAATTTTCAGATTTGGAAAGATATATAAGATAAGAAATAATGGCTAGGTAGACATTAGCAGCTTCCTGAATATACATAGAAGAAACATGTGGGTACTAACCAACTATTGAGACAAATAAGTTGGCTAAAGAAATGATTTAAGGCTAGTTTTTACTTACCAGGAGTGAGTACCATAAGGCTGGCAGGAGCTGCCACTTGTCCAACACTGTTCCTTGCATAGCAATGATACCTTCCTTCATCAGTCAACCGCACAGCTTGGATTTGAAGCCAGCTGGTTACCTCATACTTCTGAGGACCTCCCCTAAACTATAGCCAATTAAAATAAGACCATTTAAATCTCTCTCTATAAATATTTCCATTGGATAAAAACCTTTTTAAAAACTTTACTCTGGGATTTATTTATGACTCTCCTGCCATTTTTCTCCATGACTGTAACACAATTTTGACAGGTAGGTTTGCCTGAGAGAAACTAAGCTTAAGTCACCCACTGACTTCCATAGATAAAATGGCTACAACTACTCTGCATTGGCTTTGGTGTAGAAGATCTTTACCTTAATAAACACATAATAGAATAATTACAGTAAATATCAGATGGTGTCAATTTTCAAACAACTTAAAACTTCACTATGCAAAATCATATTGATTCATTTACCCACAGTCAGTAGAAAATATAGGGATATCTTCTATCTTGGATTTTAAGTTCAATACACTAGAACAGGGGTAGGCAGCCTTGGCTCTTTTATGACTCGTGGACTTCAACTCCCAGAATTCCTGAGCCAGCATGGCTCAGCTTGGAAATTCTCCCTTTCCCCTCAGCATGGCTGGCTCAGGAATTCTGGGAGTTCAAGTCCACGAGTCATAAAAGAGCCAAAGTTGCCTCCCCTGCACTAGAATTGTTCACTACTCTTAACCACTGCCCGTGCATGATAAATCCAAACTCCTCATTTTTTTTCAGAATGTACAGTAATTCATATTCAACATCTTTGACTCATTTCCTTTCTGAGCACTCTAAACATTAAAGCAACCAGGGATACTGTAGAGCAGGTCCAAAACATACTTCCTTTTTAAAAAAAATATTTTATTGATTTTTAACAATTATAATTTTTAGTGCTTAGTAAACAATGTGTTGTCTAGGTTCACATATTTAACATTAACTTCTTCAATATCAATCAGCACAAGCCAGTGTTTTTCCCTTGATCCTTCTTTCTTCCCAGATTGTTTTCATTTTCCCAATACAATGCAAATACAATTCTTGCTATTATTAATACATACAAAATTTAATATAAACATCCTCATCATATTTTCTAGTATTATACAAATAACAATATCAGTTTATAACCTCTTTTCTAACCAATTTATATTTCAAATGTATTTGCAATTAAAATCTCCTTATTAAATCAATATTCTGTTTTTCATATTCTTATTTAAGTTTAATTTCCCATCAATATTCAGAATATCTTTGTCAGTTATAGTTTTCTCAAGATTAGTTACATTTATATAGCTAAGAGTTTCATTTATATAAGCCATCCTCATATTTTCATATTTCCCATATAAAAAAGTGCTATTCTAATTATAAATCATATCTTTCTTATTATAAAAGTCTAATTATATCCAAGGGTTACCCATTCTTTTAATCTTATTCAAACACATGTTTAATCATATAATGTCACCTCTGATAAATCAAATCTTCTGTTTTTTAAGTCTAACTCTAGCTTTCTTCCTTTGCCAAATAGCTTTCCAGACCAAGGCAATTAAATCGTCAAAGAATTTTTCCTCTATTTTTGTGAAAGTTACTTGGAATGAGAAGGACAATTTATGTAAGGTAATTCTGAGGGGGAATTCCACCCATTTATATTCCTTAAGCAACTCCCACTTTCCTTCTCCCTCAGCTTCTCTTTTCATTTTTTGTCTTCCAATTTCTTGCATTTCCCCAAACAGCTCTATAGTCCATTTTTTAAAATCTTCTTTCTTGTCCTCAAGTGTATTTTGCAGACCTAGGAGGTAAAGTATCTTTTCCATTTTCATGGTTATTTATTTATTAATTTATTTATGAGACTTATATACCGCTTTAAGTGCAAGCACTCTCTAAGCGGTGTACACCAGTAAGCAATTTGTCTGTGGCAGTTTGTATTTCCTTTCTTTTATGTCTTCCGGATCAATTTCCTCTGATTCATCTTCTATTTTTGGGGTTGTTTTTCATACTTTGCAGTCATTGTCTGGGAACTTTCTAGTAATAGATTTAAATAAGAAATTTACTCATTTATGTTAACTAAATTGTTTTTAATCTCATCACAATTTCTTCTTGTGTCTTCTTTATGTGAAACAATTGTCTGGTGAATTAATTGTAGCATAGAATATATCTCCTTCTGAAAAGTGTTTGTTTTTTCTTGAGGCATCACTCCTGCAGATCCTTGATAAACCTGGCTGGGGGCTTCAAATGGAGGTGTTGAGTATGTTTTCCCACCACTTTTGGCTGGGTATGAGGCCTCCTTTTTGTTTCCCCCCTCCAGATAGCCTGTCAGAACTGTTGTGATCTCCAAATACAAGTCTTATCTAATATCACCAATCCTGATAACAATAGATAAAAGTTTCATCTAGTTTTTATATATAGCCTTTATAATCCAATAGGTTCCAAGATATGAGTCCAGCACTAAAAGCAATGTTTTGTAATAGTCCTTCTGCTCCGGCGTCCAAAAATTATCAGTCAGGCCAGGTTGCAATCCATAGTATTCAAAGTGTTCAAAATATTCAACAACCCTAAAAACAATCCAAAGCTCTCTCCCAGCCTAACGTAGCCAAAAATCAAATTTTTCTTTTTCTTCAAATAGTTCTTGAGATTAAAAGTCATAGATCAGTAGGTATTTATAGTCCACGAAGGTCAGGGTGATAAGTATGTCAAAATATTTTGCTCTGTTGCCAGCTGTTCTCTGTTAAGCTAGGAGTCACCAAGCAGCCAAGAAGCAAGGTTATTTTCTGTTTCTAAGCTTCTTACCAGGTCAGCATCAGTCCTTTCAGTTGTAGTGCTATTCTCTAATCCAGGGGTATCAAACTCAATTTCATTGAGGGCTGCATCAGCATTGCAGTTGCCCTGGGGGGGCTGGGTGGGTGTGGCCAGAGTGGGTGCAGCCTACTGGATGGTTGTTGATGGAGTGGGTGTGGCCTACTGGGTGGGTGTGGTCAGTTCTACATCATTCGCATCAAGGGTGCCTATGGGGGCCTGGGCAGGAGTGGGACAGATCTGAGGGTCTCTGGCAGAAGGGGATGGGAATGGGGCAAGTGCCAAGGCATGATCCACTGGGGCAAGTGCCAAGATGGCCACCACAAAATTGTACATTGGCCCCCAGCTGGCCTGAGCCAATGCAGCAGGGGCCATTCCCTCACTGTTTCCAGGATGGCTTCGCCGGCCACATGAAACCACTTTGCGGGCCGCATCTGGCCCCTGGGCCTTGTGTTTGACATGTCTGCTCTAATCCATCACTTGATGTCATTCTATATCCATTTTCCACTCTCAAAACAGAAGGTTGATTTCTTATATTTCACCCTAATATTTTTTCAAAGAGAAAATTTTGACAGTTATTTCAGTTTTCAAATTTGTCAAAGCTGTAGCTTTATATTGTTTCCACTTCAGTATTATATATTTCTGTCCCCCATAAAAAAAATTTAAATGCCACTTCAATTTCTCTGGAAGGGTGGGGCTACAGTCCCCTTCCTTCTCACATTCGGAGGTTTTTGGCTTCTTGGGAGCCTTTTCCAGGAAATTCAGTTAAAAATAGTAAAGAAAGGATCAATATTCTCACCCAATTCCAAACACGCTGTTTACGAACTGCTAATTAGTGCTTTGTTTCTTCAGCTGTCAGTAGCTGGAGGCTGGCCACAAAGCTGCAACCAGTATTTCCCCTGCTGGTTTGGAGGGCTTTCCTCAGATCAAACGGAAAGATTGCTGTCTCTCCATGATCAATGAGGCACCCCTCCTTATTCATCGCCTCTTGGGGCAACTTTAGGCCCTTTTAGGGCCCCCAGGAGGGCAAAATCAGGTGCGGAAGGCAAAGCTCTGCCTTCCTGCATCCATATAGCTATAATATCATCAAAACATACAGAAATTAAAAACAATCTTTACTATACATCTTCTGAGGGATCCAGTATATTTAAAAAGTATTTTGCTGAATTAACTCCATTTGGCTTAGGATCTGGATATTTGTGAAACCCCCTACTCTGGGTTGAATTTGCTCAACTGATGAGATCACAAGCAAAGGCTTGCTGAGAATCCCTCCACCAATGCAGAAACCACTTTGTCAAAAGTTTTCAGTGATAGCCCCCTCTTCTAGAACAGCCTACATCAGATATTAGGCCACTCCCTCTTCATTAGCTATGAAGATATTTCAAGACTCTCCTTCTGAAGCAGTTTGATGAAAGAATGTCCAATTTGCAGATCCTCTGGGCTGGATGTTATGAGCTGTATTGTGTTTCTTTCTATTGCTTTTATCCTACTTTGTATTTGGTTGTTATAAACCACTCAGAGTTTCTGAACTGGAGTGACACATACGTGCCAAAAGACAAAGTAATAAATACAAATTACTTGCAAGTTTCCCATATCTAAATTCATATAACTTCAATTTTGAATTTAAACATAATTTAACTTTAAAATAAATTAAATGTTTTCCTTTACTTTTCCCATGCTTTATTTTTTTGGTTCATCTTCTTTTGTTTCTTTGTAACATTATGCTTGTTTATGTTATTCTTTTGTTACACATGAAAAAGGAATCATGTATCTGTGAATTTTCACAGAAAGCTATATAATCCACATGTAACATAAATAGTTCATTGCTTAATATTCTAAAATATAACTCATCCAGGTCATGGTTGTCCCAAAGGTCCTTTTTTCCACGAGATAACTGGACTTTCTTGTTTTCTTTCTTTTCACTTCTCATCCAAGAAGCTTCTTCAGCTCTGACTGGATGGTGGGGAATCACAGGAATTATATTCCTTGCAGACAATGATATAAATTCTGCATTCCCTACCATTCAGTCAGAGCTGAAGAAGCTTCTTGGATGAGAAGCAAAACATCTTCAAAAAAGAAAAACAAGAAAGTCCAGTTGCCTCCTGAAAAAAGCACCTTTGGGATAACTCATCTAGGTTTAAGTGTTGGCTTCATCACAGCTCCCTGAATCATATTGTTTTACACAATCACATCTACTCATTTGTGCAAATGCATGCTTTTAATCAGTATATCTCAAAAAAAAAAAAAAAATACATTTGGCATTTTTCTGAGTTCAAAAAGCTGCAAACCTAGAATATCAAACATGTGATCAGTCTTTTGGCAGGACAATGATGCTGAGCATTTTATCTGAGAAAGTCTCCATCATCATACTACACAGTATTTTGAAAATTTGTATAGCCACCTAACTCTATGTAGTATACATCAAATAAAAATTCCCAATCATATTGCAAATAAAAAAACACCTTATATCAACAAAAGAAATGAAATTGATTACCAACACATCAGATAACATATTACACCTATCATACATACTCCACCTCCCAGAAGATGGATTCATCTATCATTTTAGATTAACCTTGGAGTAAAAGCCACGTTTTTAAAGTTTTCCTCCAAGCTAAGTGATTTGGGACCATCTGAATCTCAGAGGCAGATTGGTATGAAGGGCGAGCACTACAATAGAAAAATACGTTTAACTATTAAATTCATGGTCATATATTTAACACTGACTTTGAAATTTGTCTTCTTACAGTTTTCAGCCCTTTCTCTTTTTGTATTCCCACTAGTTAGGGAAAACAGCTCATCCCATCACTATATATATTTGGAAAGTGCTGGATTCCATCCTATTTTTGACTCTTTCTTTAGCCTGATTCCAAAGCACATTGTGGGTGTGTGATTACACATACAGTACATAATGCATATGGAACTTAATTTTTCAAAGAAGCATGCATTTAATTCTATTTGCACATAACATGCATATGTATTTTGCACTTGAGCATGTGCTAGACATTTCAGACTGATGTAAAATACCAATCTATGTTGCTGTTCTTTCCATAGTGGAAAATAATCTAAATTATTTACAGATGGAACTAGCAGCAGTATACGTTCTCTTTCTTCTTTTAAAACCTAAATGAGAAAGTGTGGAAGTTGCCCACATACTGTCTTCATTCTTAGTCTTCTCTGTAAACAGGATACATGGAATCCATGTCTGTGTGTGAATGCCTATATCCAGATTTTTCCTTTCACTGTCAGGTCAGAGCAATGAACTGCACCCAAAAACAAGGATGTTGCATAATCAATTGACAGATTAAAAAAACTGCCTTGGAATAGCCATTTAATTATCTAATAGCACTGCAAAATTGAAACAGATTCTAAAATGTGTGATGTTTTGGCAGGGGCTGGACCAGAGGAGGAATCGTGAAATCATGCCATGACAGCTTTTTCATTTGAGTTTCTTCCTTATAGAGGGTGGATTCTACTATCAGTTTCCATTGTAGTGTCTCTTTACTATGATCTGATAAATTCTTTCTCATCAGCTGAAGTGCCTCCTTATTGCTCCAATCTTCACTTTTTCCTCAAGAAGTACACAAGTTTGGACCTTCTCTGAATATAGGTTACGATTCTCTCAAATAGGTACACAAAAATACCACACGCACTCCAGGTTATAACTACAGGTTTCTATCCACTCATCTTTGCCAGGGTGTTGGGGGGGGAGTCAGCACTAGAAGAAAGGCTTGTATTTTCACCTTTTTCCGGTTCTCATGTTACCTTAACTACAAATTTTCAGCTTCCAGAGAAAATTTATTAAAAACTCTTCTGCCAAACTCTGCCAGCAAACTCCTGTTAGCAAAAGTCAAACTCTTTGACTTGCTGAATGAGTCAGATTTAACATTTATACATGAATCAATAAAATAGCATGATCAGCCTTTTTTCATTGCAGCTATACAAAAACTGGCTATTATGTGGCTAATAAGATATTTCATCTCATAAAGTAACAGCCTGACATAAAACCCAACCATTCTGCTTCAGTATTGGCATGGCATATTCCATGGCATATTTTTTATGGAGATCCCTATAAAAGATGCTAGTATGTTGCATTGTTTTAGTCTCCAGTTCAAATGGACACATGCACTCAACTAAAGGGATTTTAGAATATCTGCCTTACAGAAACACAGGAGAGAGAACGTTGATCAGCATCCAACATTTTAATTACTTCACCACTGTTAGCAAAACAATCTTTACCCTCACATAACAGCTCCAAGTCACACTGTCCCTTGACATAGCTCATACATCTTTACCTTCTCCAACTATCTGTTGGATTAACATCTCTAAGTGAGGAAACTTCGTATGAACAATTGCAAGTGTGAAGATTTATATACATGCAAGAAAAGCAATTATGCAAAAAAAAAATTGCATGAGGACAATGATAAATACATAATGATAGGGTGGAACTATTTGTATGTGAAAGTCAAATCTTTTGTAAAGCTTGGAGGGCACATATGCCTGTACAATCATTCTTTTTCCTACACTTCACTTAAGATAAATGTATGTAAGATAACATTCTTAAAATCTCACTGTCTAAAAAAGGGTCTCCAAATCCCATACTGCATACAAATTAAACAGTGCATTAGGACCTTGGTAATCTTGCTTAATATCTATTCTTCCACTGATGCAACATATTCTCTAGCATTACATCCAGACTATTTTTAATTAACTCATAACAGCAGACATTCTCTCTGGAGATTTCCCCATTGGTTTTGCTTTTTCTTGTAGGAAAGCAATTCCTGGTTCCAGTTTAATTTGTCTGGTTGTATTTTCCACATCTGTTTTCTTGGACCACTGTGACTATATTTATGCCAAAGGGGTAGTTGAAGTTTGATGCAACAATGCTAGAAATAAAAACACCTCTTATTCTAAATGATAGATGCTATCGCAAATATTATCCTACTGTTTCCCTTGACATAAATAATATGGAACTATCCCAGCCCCCTAACCAGACTGTGACTTGACATATGCTTTTACCCCACCCAAACATTCCATATAATAGTAGAAATTTTAGTTTCCAGAAATGATTCTTAGGATCTTCTCACACACCCTCTAAATGGAAGAGTGTAACACTAAGTACTTTGCAGCCTTTTAAGTTCTGTTTTAGGCTGGCTTCCCAAGCTTGTTAACCTCTGTGAAGATCCATGTTAGGAACATTCAAAGATCACCACAATATTTCCAATTGCTAATACAAATGTGTGCAATTGTACCCAATAAGAGAACAAACAATAAAAATGGAATAGTAATTAAGGCTTGCAGTAAGAAAAACAAAAGAAAAATGGAGACATGTTCATGGGTTAACTGTATTTTTAGCAGCACCAAAAATAAAACAAAGCAAAACAACAACAACAATAAAATCACACAAGGTTATATGAAGAAATCTGCACATGTCACAAACTGGCTGTCATATGTTAAACAAGTTGATCTTTTGTTAAGCAAGCAGAAGTTGTAAATGTATAGCAAGCAATGTATAGGATAGAAGATCTGAAGAATTTGGAGAGCCAATTTGATGTTCTTATTTAGGAGATTCAGGTTCAAGCCCACCCTCAATAATGAAAACTCAGTTGATGACTTGGATCTGTCCCTCTCTCTCAGCCAAACTTCATCCACAGTGTTGTTGTTGGAACAAAAAAAGAAGTCAATACTAAATATGCCATCTTGAGCTTCTAGGGGGAAAGTGGGAATAAAACTAACAAAATAATTAAATACAAATAGTGACACTTTAGGACCATATACAAAGAGTTAAAGGGAAAACCCTATTGCCCATACACACAAATAACCACTATCTGAGAGCACACTAGATTTTCAGGGTTACCTGAACTGAAATGTGAGGGTCATCTCCAGGAAGCAGCATATCCAGACCCTCTTTCCTCCATTCAATAGATGCCATGGGAAATGCAAAGACTTCACAGCCAAAGATTACATCCTGCCCAGTGGTGTTCCAGATATCATAAGGAGGAGATATAATACGGGGTTCTAGGAAAGGCAAAAAAAAAAAAAAAAGATCTGAGAAGCCAAGAATCTCTACATTATTTGTCCATGAAGATATTATCTTTTCTGATCTATTTTAGAGATGATGCTTCCTACAAGTTACATTTAGTACATATTTCAAGAGATCCTTTAATCATATGGTGACTAAATAATTTTCACCTTTTGACAGTAAGCTTATAGTCAAGGCCTGTCTTATTTTTATTTTTTCTGTAACATCTAAACTTTTAATAATGGTATGGGCATGGGACCAGGTTACTTTCAGGACTGTCTCTCCTCACCTGTCTCATGAGGTCCAACAGGAAAGGCTAGTTCTAGGTCCCATCCACTAGGGAAAGTCATCAGGTGGGTCCATAGAGGAATGCCTTTTCTATTGTAATGCTTGCCCTCTGGAACATCCTTCCTCTGTAGATTAGACTTGTCCCTACCCTATAAGTTTTCAAGAAGGCCTTAAAAACCTGGCTTATAACCAACCCTAGGGCTCAAGCTATGTGGTTAAGCCTATTATATTGATGAAGTATGTTGTGGTTTTATTTACTCTCAGCTCCTATATTTGTTTTTTATTATCTTTATGGTATTTTACCTTTTACTTTTTGATCACTGCCTAGACTCATATGTTTGAGATGGATGGTCATATAAATAAAATAAATAAATGAACTATTGCACTAGACTCTCAATTTCCTTTCAGCGGAAACCCTTTTATGATTGAGCTAAATATTGCTGCTTTGCCAGGCCAACAGCAGCTGTTATAAAGGATATATTTGCATCATCATGGCACATCTGTGAACAAGGGCCCTTGGCCCCTAAACGGTGGTCCGGTGCTTTGCCGCAGTCGTTTAAATGAAATGCTTTCTAGGGATGTTGCTGCTGCCTCCTGTTGCTGGGGAAACATGACAGCTTTGTGGCAGCTGCTAATCAGCTTGCTTTATTGTCAAATGCTTGGATTTGACTTAAGCTTTCCAGCTACTCACTTTTCCTCTTATTTTAAGGTTTGATACCTGGGGAGTGACTGTAGCTGGCTGGTAGGTAGAGCACAAGCTTTGAATACAGAATGACTTTTATTCAAGCTCTGGAACCTCCAGAGTTTTGTTCTGTTTTTTACAAAGATCAGTAGCAATGAGATAGATTTTTACCTCAGCATGCCCTGCCAGTTAGATATTAGATGCCAGGCTAGATTAATAATTTATGCTTTGTTAGAAAGCAGCTTCTAATCTACCAGTGTTTTTTTCAATAATATGAGTAGCTTTGTGAGACCACATATTAGACCAAATATTAGAAACTCTTCCAGTGTCACTATCCTGTCTCTCCACATTCTTTTCTGTTTCTCCACAGCCAGCCTAAATTTGTTTTTCATTACCACTATCAGTATGGAATCCTAGTTTATTCTTCTGTTTCAGGATATCTCCTTTCCTTGCAATAAGGAGATCAAATTAGAGACAGTTCCTTCAGCACTTGCAGGTCTAACTCCTGTTTATTACCAGTTTGTAATAGTGTCATCTCAGTATCTCTGGAGAATTTGTACATATTTTTTATCATTGGTAACTTCATATTTGGTGAGAAGAAATGGAATACTAAGCCACAAAGTAACTTAGCTTGTAGCAGTCATTACTGTACAGTTATTACAGAAGAGATTTGTAATATGTAAATGTTGCTTTAGTAGTAGACATCTAGAACAACATCTAGTCTGGTTTGATTGACCAGGTTCTGCTATATTATGAATTCCTGGAACAATATATCAGTGTAGACAAATGTGTATGCCAGGTGATACTTCATATCCCTAATATATGTCTGTTATACATGAAATATCTCTGTCACTTACCTTAACTCTAGCAATTACTTTTATATACAATTACTTGGGTTTGTCTAGCTCTGGAAAGTAATGGTCTGTCATCTTAATGCTGAGGACTATTTTACTTGGGTGAATTCATCAATTGGCATTGATTCCTTATCTTCAATTATTTACCGGTAATTCTTTTTAAAATCTTTATGCTTGCAACACTCCATAGAAACAATAGATACACACTGATTGTGTACTATTAAGAAATATGTTCAGTCCTTGTAGAGAAAGATGGTAGATAAATGGCAGTACATGCAGAAAACCCCTATTCAATCTTTGGTACCAGAGTTAGGACTAGATAGCAGATTTTGGGGGGGGGGAAACACTTCTGAGAACTGCAAAATTACTGAAACCAGGTTGTTTTGACCAATCTCTTTTACCCAATTTGAAACTATCAGATTATTTACTTCACCATACATTTTTCATTTTGAAAATATAAGAGCTTAGAATCATTGCTTCCCATTTATTTTCTTTTCAAAACATTTAAAATAAGTCCTTTCTGGACTCACACAGAAATTGACGAAGAGGAGCCTACAATGGACCTTACCTGATTCACAGGGTCCTTCATGAGCTACAGTGAGATTAGCCTCAGGGTTGGAATTAAACACCTCTTGGAATTTGCAGATCTGAGTATACGTTTTGCCATCAGAGCCACAAAGAGCTTGGTTAGACAGACAAGTGCACTGGGGCTCAGGCACTTCACTATGTTGCAGGTCTTCTGAATCAAGACGGCACTCTAAGTGATCCCCACACTTGCCATAGAAGTGGTTGGTATGGTCCAGGTCACAGATCTGTCCCTCTAGATTTGCACATTCCCAACAACAATCACAGGCATCCAGGACCACTCCAGCCAGGCAACCACGAGGGACAGGGCATTCTTCCAATCTACATTCCACACAACTCTCCCCTTCCTCTAGAAGCCTCTGCCAGCCACGCTGCAAGTAATCAGGACCAATGGGCAGTGCCGAAATAAGTGCATCCCAGCAGAGAAATAGCACAAGAAAGGTGACTTGTAGAGAAGCTAAGGTAGCAGGTTGAGACATTCTCCCTAGCTCACTGGATCTTGGCACCCGTTTGTCAGATTTGCATGTCACCATCCCTAGGGTGATAGAATAGCATTCACTACTTGCTCCTTTTCAAAACCATGAAGTCTTCACTGCCTGCAAAAAAGGGAAGAAATTCAGATGCAGCAATTATCTCACCAGTCAGTTACTGTAAATGAATACTTAAACTGGAACATTCTCAGAACAGTCTTTCCATGCCTCCCATTGATGATCTAAACCCTTATTGTGATTTTTCTGGACCAGGAAGAAAGGCTGACTCTTCTCAATGTAAGAAGCTCTCAAGCAAGTTATACTGCCAAGAAAGTATTCTAGTCTTTAGATCAACCACTGAGGGAGACAGATACACCTCCCATCCAGCTTGTTGCAAAATGACGGTGACACAACAGCAAAAAGCATTGTCATTTATGCCCAAGAGGTATAACAGGTTCTTGAGCAGGGTCACAGGGCTCCAGTTTCATACCAATATCACCATAAGAACAATGAACATAAGACACAGAAGTGTCTGTGATCATTTTGGTTCTTTTATTTATAGTTTTGTTCTACTTTATTTTGTTTAGCTTGTACCATATTAAATTCAAGTTGATAGTAACAGGTCCATAGGTAGAGACTCGAGTGAGGAAATCTAAAGCAGGGCACAGAATCATTGCAGAACTCGTAGGACTTAAACACAGAAGCACACCTACCTATAGGAATATAGTTTTTATTGTATTACTTCTAAGCAAGTTGTTCGGAAAATATAACTAACACGCTTTTATTTATATCTCTTCAAGTAAGTAAAAAGGATTCAAGGTTCATTGTTTAAATGACAGCTGATCAGTGAGGAGCTGTCAAATTCCTATAGCTCCTCTTTATCTGTGGCACTAAATGATTTGAAGGAACCTCATTCAGGTTCAAAACTTATTAGTCAACTTTTTATATTGTAATCACACAACTGGTATGGAGTTGAACATGGTGACTTTTTATAGATCTCCTAATATGGGGTTTTAAAAAGTCAGCTGTATTGTCTTGTATGTCAGAATGAGCAAATAGGTGGCTCTTAGATTTTTTTTTTCTATCAATGAGTTGTGCAAATTCAGTTTAATAGCTTTGCTATTGCTAAACCAGAGGGTGAGACTGTGCCATAAGCAAATGAAAATATGCTTTTCAATCAGCCACCAAAAAGCGATTAAATTTAAAACAATATGTATCCACATATAAATTTGGAAAAATAATATAAAGAACAAATGTCATACACAGGACATGCAATAGAAGGGCTTCTTGAAAGTTTTCAAACTGCACATTAATTGTACCAGCATATTTATATTTTGCAAGTCTTTTTTTCCTGGAACAAAATGCTTCTCTCCTTCAGCATGTTGGATTAATTTGTCCCATTTTTTTAATAGGGCGGGCAGTTTTTCTTTAAAAATTTGGAGTTCTTTAATTTTTTTATTAGGCAATGTGACTGGTACAAGATGTGTGTTCTTAATGGAAAAGCAGTTACTGCTATGATTAGTTGCTCTTTTAATGAAGTACTAAATTGTCTTCAGAGATTTAATATAACTGCCTTTTTTGAAAAGCAGCCTTGCTATTTCCCATTGCCCAATTACATAATATTAAATTACCGAGTTAAGTCATTTAAGGTTAAATGTATAGGCCTGACTTCAAATATACCTTTTCAGGAGTGGAAATATTTTTTCCAAGCATTAGGATAAGTTTAGGATATTGTATAATTTGTTATTCAAGACAACATAAATTCAGTGTTGTCTTTGACAAAATTCTGATATTTCTATGATAATTTTTTGAATATTACCACTCCTAGAATGTCTTTTTCTTGAATATCTCTGGATTTAGTTTATTAGTTTGTGTAAAGGGAACCTGTTTATTATCTACCCTCAGTGTGGGTAACTTACAGATGAATTAAACCAGTGGTTCTCAACCTTTTTAATGCCATGACCCCCAACCGGTCGTAAGTCGAGGACTACTCAACCAGTCGTAAGTCGAGGACTACTCAACTGGTGCAGCACCGTTTGCAGAATGGGACTTTTGGCGGGCTCAGCAGGGCAGAGACAGCCTGGACAATTCCTATTGGCTTTTGAAAGCCAATAGAATTAGACTCTATTCAAGAGAGTCTATTCTATTGGCTTTCAAAAGCCAATAGAATAAAAGGGAGTAGCACAGCTAAGGAAAAGGGGAAAAAAATGGACTGCATTGTTTGGTGACCCCCGTGAAATGGTCGATCGACCCCAAATGGGGTCCCAACCCACAGATGGGGAACCACTGAATTAAACTAAAGCCGCAGAAAAGCATATATAAGAATTTGGGGATGAGATGGAACCAAGCAAACAAACAATAAAAAGGCTTCAAAACTAGTGAAATTGTAAAGCTGTTGGCAACTTCACAGTAAAAATAATACAATGCCATCCAGATGTTGCCCAGAGCATAAGCACTGATACACGTTTAATAAATCTGTCTTTTGGATATTTTAGTCCCAGCCCACTGACTGTACTGTTAGCAACTTGAATTGGCCTCAGAAACAAACTAGTATTCAATACAGCTGGAATTGTATAAGAATAATATGTTCACCATAGGAAATGTTTGTTGAAATATTGTTTCCTTTTTTAACTGAACAGTTTCTCAGCTGAGCACTGTACAAAGACAGCCCCGGTGAGACTCTACTGTATCGTAATAGTTCGAGCTACATGTTATTGCTGTATAACTATAGCCAAGTCTGCCTTCATTCCAACTGGCATGCCAGCCTAAGCTGGGGAGAAATACCCCTGTTGTGGCCTTCTCAACATCCAGGAATGTCAAATTCAGGAAGCCTTCAACCAGCCAGATTAGTTTTTGGAGACAGAGCACCTATATCCAGAACAAGCTGTACATACTTTCCTGGATCAGTCAGTTCCTAAAAGCAAGTAAGTACAGCATCTTACTTGAATCATGTTTCAATTTCTTAACTCTCATCTCATTTATTACTCATTTCACCAATCTATAGCCTCAATTATTTCCCCAAAATTTAATGGAAAGGAAGATAGAGCTGCTTGATTTCCTGTAAATGTCTAGCACACAGGTCGGCAACCTGCGGCTCCGGAGCGGCATGCGGCTCTTTGAGCCTTCCCCTGTGGCTCCCAGCCTCCTCTGCCTTTGCAGAGAGAGACAGAGACAGACAGAGGCAATTGCGCTTCCCTGCTTCTCTCTCTCTCTCTCTCTGGGTGGGTGGGTGTGTGAGAGTGTACTCACAGTATTCTCTGAGGAGCTGAAAAGCTTACCGGGCAGAGCTCCTCCCTTTGCTGCGTCTCTGCAGGAAGCAGCTCCTCCCTTTGCTGCATCTCTGCAGGAAGCAGGAAGGACAGGAGAGAGCTAGCTAGCCCAGCTAGGCTGACTCAGGAATTCTGGGAGTTGAAGTCCATGAGTCATAAAAGAGACAAGGTTGTCTACCCCTGAGCTTGTTGGACAACAGCTTGAAACTTGCCAGGTGAGCAGCAGATAGGAGAGGGGGGGAGAGAGAGAGAGAGGGAGGGAGAGAGAGAGAGGAAAGAGAGAGAGAGAAAGAAAGAGAGTTGGGGAAGAGGAGTGGCAGACCAAGGGCAGATAGAGAGAGAGGGAGGGAGAGAGAGAGACAGAGAGAGAGAGACCCTTTTGACATCTAAAATGAAGATAACACTGCATATATCCTTTTTTTTAACCTCTGTGTGTGTGTATGTATGTGTGTGTGTGTGTATATATATATATATATATACACACACACACACACATATACATACACACACACATACATACACACACACACACACACCTATAATAAAGGTAAAAAAGGATATATGCAGTGTTATCTTCATTTTAGATGTCAAAAGGGTTTTGCGGCTCCCAGTGTTTTGTTTTTGGTGGGAAACGGGTCCAAGTGGCTCTTTGAGTGTTTTGGGTTGCCTACCCCTGGTCTAACAAATGTTGTCAGTGTGCTAATTTTCCAAGATCTTAAATATAAGCGATAGCTACATGAGAGAAATAAGGTCAGAAGAGCTAGAATGCAAGAAACAAATAGCCCATGGGTACGCTTTTGAAGTACAGAGAGAAGCCTAAGGGAGGAAATTCCAAAAACCCAGTCTCCCCTGAACTACTATATAACATGCTCCATATGCTGGAATTATTAGCAGAGCTATTTGGACAGAAAGTGCAAGGAAAAAGACAAGTACAGTATTCAGAAATATTTGAAAGGGAAAGGATACATGTAATAGTTGACAATAAAAGTTGACAAATAATTATAAAATATTCTTGTTACTTCATGGTAAAACATTCCATTTTTATCAGTTGCAGTAACCATAATATTAGTCAGCAAAAATAGTACAAGGGATAGTTAACACATAAAATAAAAATTGACAAATCACACATCAGAGTTGGATACATGTGCAGTTAAGAGTTGTGCTTAGGTCAGCTATTTTACATTATCTAGAAATTTAAGAAGATTGCCCCTAATATTTATTTAATCTTTTTAAAGCATCTCCTACATAGCAATTGAATTAAAGTCTTCCCTCAATGGCCCAGATTATTCTTGAATGATACAAAAAAAAAATTTGAGATACAAATTTTGTTTTGTATTGTTTTTGAAATAATTCTACCAAAATCAATTAGTCTATCTAGTACCTTTTCAGTAGTCTTAATTTTTCAACCCCTAACCCAGTGGTGGCGAACCTATGCACAGGTGCCAGAGGCAGCACTTGGAGCCCTCTCTGTGGGCACACGTGCCGTTGCCCCAGCCTTGCCTCCCCCATGACCCCCTCCTCAGCAGCAGCCCCCCTGGAGGAGAGTCGCCCCTGAGCATGGCCGATGTGGAGCAGCGCAGCCAAGAACATGACAGCCAAGCAGCGTAGACAAAAATCTGGCCTCACGCCTCATCGTGCACAGTTGATGCTGCAGGGCGTGGGCAGAGGGCGTGGCCGCCATGGTGCTGCTGGGCTGCCTGGGCAATCTGCAACGGGCCCTGGAGGTGGTGAGTAACCCTGAGGGCAGGCGGGGTGGGGGCGGGGCAGGCGGTGGAGCGGGGGTAGGGCCAGTTTTGGGGCACTCGGTCTCTAAAAGGTTCGCCATCACTGCCCTAACCTTTTCAATTTAAAATTAAATTTTGTCAGTTTTAAGCACCGTCTGCATGTCTCTTTTTCTCACTGATCACAAAACATATTTCCATAACAAGGATGTCAGTCTAGAGTAGAACATTGTTTTTCAAACTTGGCAACTTTAAGATGTGTGGACTTCAACTATTGGAATCCCCGCTCAGCATACAGTAAATGCTCCTTGTGCACATCAACCCACTGCCCTAACCAATAGGTTTAATTACAGGGACCAGGAAACCATCCGTGAAGAATCCAGAAAAGGTACATAAGCATTGCTGCAATTTCTGAAGAAACAATCATGAAAAATGAAGTTTTCCTGTCAAGGTCTCCTGTAAATTAAGGAGAAAGATTTCTTTTCTTGTTTTGTAAATAATAATAATAATAGTAGTAGTAGTAGTAGTAGTAGTAGTAGTAGTAGTAGTAGTAGTAAAGTTGGAAGGGACCTTGGAGGTCATTTAATCCAACCTCCTGCTCAGGCAGGAAACCCTATACCCATGGTGGCGAACCTATGGCACGCATGCCACAGGTGGCACGCAGAGCCCTCTCTGTGGGTACACATGCTGTCGCCCCAGTCCTAGGCCTTCAGCTGAGTTTTATAGAACCTTTAAGCTTTAGCCCTCCGCTGCCATGTGCAAAAAAAAAAAAGGTTCAATCAATCAATCAATTTCTCGCAGGGAAAAAAAAGATCTCGCAAAGTTGCAATTGATTGAACGTTTTAATCCCACCCAGTCTGCCATTACCGCCACAGCCACGCCCACCCAATGGGCCATGCCCACCCGGCACTCGATGATGTATAAGTGGGTTTTGGGTTGCAGTTTGGGCACTTGGTCTGTAAATGGTTCGCCATCACTGCCCTATACCATTTCGGACAAATGGCTGTCCAGTCTCTTCTTAAAAACTTCCAATGTTGGGGCATTCACCACTTCTGGAGGCAGGTTGTTCCACTGGTTAATTGTGCTAACTGTCAGGAAGTTTCTCCTTAGTTCTAGGTTGCTTCTCTCTTTGGTTAGTTTCCACCCATTGCTCCTTGTCCTGCCTTCAGGCGCTTTGGAGAATAGCTTGACTCCTCTTCTTTGTGGCAGCCCCTGAGATATTGGAACACTGCTATCATGTCCCCCCTCGTCTTTCTCTTTGTTAAACTAGACATACCCAATTCCAGCAACCATTCCTTATATGTTTTAGCCTCCATGGCAAGAGTTGGCCCACTGACTGAAAGTGACCTCAAGACCCTTTTCTGTACCCCTCCCCATGCATTCAGAAATCACTCTACCAAGTCTTGACAGCAAACTGTAGAGAAGCATTAGTGTAATTTTCCACTAAGTTATAGATGAAGATAACACAAAATAGTTGTACATTTTCACCTAAGCATAACTCACCTAAAATAAATCCACCCGCAAATTCCAACTTCGCAGAAGTCCTAGATTTGCCTATTTGTTGACATCTTCATGTCAGTGTTTTGCCTAAAGCTCAGCCAATTTGGTAGTTGTGGGGGGGAATGGAAGGAGAGAGACAGACAGACATGCCCAAAGACAGACACACAGATAGAGAGAGAGATTGAATGAGAATCCCAGGTACTCATTGCTGGAATTTGGAATGCTATTTAGAATTAAATCTGATTTAATCCTAACGCTTATCTAAATATTTTCCACACGATTTTAATACTAATTTTCTTGAGAGAACAGTTTATATTCTCCATTGGTAATCAGTAGTTTGCACACTGGAAATATTAGAAATACTTTTTTTATGGAAGCTGTGCTAAGAGTGCTGAAATTTGGGATCTTTGGTTTAGATAAGTTGATATAAAAAATCCTCAAAGACATGCAGTACAATACAATTTATTATAGAACTCTTTAATTGACAAAATTAAATGTTGGTTATATCTCAAGGACTGTATGCAAAGCAAGAACAACACAGAAAAAGGTAATTATTAAGTGGGGGAAGGGGATCATGTTGATTCCTGGCAAATGTCTAGACTAGTCCCCCTGGATTTCTCAGTAAGAATTTCAGAAGTGGTTTGCCACTACTTTTTTCCTAGAGCTGAGGGCAAGAAATAACCCAAGGTCACCCAGTTAGTTTTATGCCTAAAGAATTAACAATCTCCCAGTTTTTAGTCTGATGCTTTTAATTACTACACCAAACTGGTTCTCAGTTAAGCAGGTAGTTATGGACTATTGCTGAAACTAGCCAAGAATGCAAGCTTGTACAATATTTATGTCTGTGCTATTTCTCTGCCATAAAGCTAGAACTGTTAATACCCAGGATTTCCATTCAAGTTTATTGCACAGGAGTCCCTTGTAACAAAGGCTGAAAGGTCAAACAGGGACTAGTCATGCTGGGGAAAATCCAGTGTTAACATTATCCTGATCCACCATTTTTCTCAGCTAGTTCATTCAAGTTCGTAAAGACTGTTTTGCCAGAGACTGCAATAATCACACCTCTTGCATTACATCAGAGAGCTAAGTGTTGTTCTTAAACATCTAGCCCTTGGGTAATGGCAGTGTGTGTCTGATTGTGCTATTTTTATGTCATGGGCAGGCTGCCTGTAAGGAAGTTATCTCTTCCTTTCTCCATTATATTAGCATCACTAATGGTATCCATCACTCTTTTGTCCGGATTTTTAAAAAGTGAATGACATGGAATTACACAAATTCTGAACATTGGGGCTAAATTGGTTTGACAGCCAAGCCTTCACAGAACTGATAGTCACTAGTATTGGTAAACAAGGAACAATATCAGTAATAAGACAGAAACTGACTGATCATGCCATATAATGGACTGTAGTTAACTCCTTAGCATAAAAAAAGAGTTTAAGAAGGTTCTTTTGCCACAGTTAAATCACAGAATGAAGCTAAGTGCAGATCAGAATAAATGGGATACATTTTCTGTATTCCAAACAGACTCTTGATCAAACCTCTTGATCAACATTATTCTCAACCTACTCATTCAAGTTTGATTACAGTAATCCAATTTTTAAAGTCCAGTTATCCATGAAATCACTAGAAAAGGATCTTATACTTTATAGGAACTTCAGAGACTAACAGCTTCACCCCTAAAAAGAACTCTCTGGCATAATCCAGATGTTTATCCCATTTATGCTTAATGGATTCTAAAGATTATTTATCTAATTTAATTGAAAATGTGAAATACTTATTTTTTCAAAAGTTCAAATGCTTCAGAAATGTAAAGAAACATCATTTCAGGAACTCTTAAGGAACTGAGCTGACTAAAGGAACATCAAGGAAAAGTTTCTGGATTTAAAAAGAGATCATTATGTAATTCCCTAGGCATACTTCATTATTATAAGACTTATATCTGACCTAGATAGCTGGAATCTGATCTAGATAAACACAGCAGTTCCAAAATATCCCATAGTTTAAATCTGGCAACAACTCTGCTCTTTAGGCTTTGATGGAAGTTGGAGGCACGTACCTCATGTCAGACAGGGCAAAGCTGATCGTTCATTCGAAATCCACTGCTCGGTTGCTTCCAGTGTTCCAAGTATCTCTTTCAGCTTAAGTTGTGCTGGTGGTGTTCGCCTTTTCCAAAGGATTAGTTTTCTGTTTCACTGCTTAAACAAGGACCAATGATGTCACAATGAAATCTGATCCCCTGGACCCAGAGTTTATGGAACTCCCCCAACATATGCACATCTACAACGATGAAAACTTGCCTGATTAGCCACTAAATTTTCTTGTATGCTGAACAGACAGAAGAAGTAAACCCCAGCAGCAGCCTCTCTCTCAACTCCACTGAGCAACTACAGTTGTAACTAGATACCTTGCTCACTGCTGGTTTTAGAAATAGCCTCTAGGAGAAAAAGAACCCCCAATTTCTATACTATAAAGTGGAACTCAGCATCTCTAAAATATATATATCTTGGGAGATAGGTTTGCCTAAACTGCCAAAGCAAGAACTACCCAGAAATTTCTGATGTGCCTATCCAGATCTATGGGGGGAAAGCTTATATTTATAGAAATAATAGCAAGATAAAGCAGTGTTAGATGGCTTGATAAAAGTGCTAGTATTCCCAAAAAGTATTCTAATATTGCCTTAGTTTCTCTTCATTTGCACACTCCCTTTATAAATACCATCCATCTTATGAAGGCAAAGGACTTTGGAAAATTAATGTTTAAAACCCTGCATCTAAAAAAATATACTTTTAAAATAAGCATGCCCTACTTTAGGTTCTATGTCCATTTTTTTTAACCTAAGCAGCACAAAACAAAGCAAAAATTGTACTCTAAGAAATATGAGAACCAGAGAGAAGTCCACAATTGACTCTTTATACATTTTTGTGATTCTAAAAAGAATAAAGGCAGCTGTGTTACCATGATTAACATCAAATCAAAATAATAAATTTACAACAACAACAACAATAATAATAATAATTGCAAAAGGCGGCCTTACTAGGAACTGCTTCCATCCTGCGACGATACCTGTAATACCATCAAACATCTCTTCTCTCTTTGGTTAGTTTCCATCCATTGCTTCTTGTTCTGCCTTCAGGTGCTTTGGAGAATAGCTTGACTCCCTCTTCTTTGTGGCAGCCCCTGAGATATTAGAACACTGCTATCATGTCCCCCCTTGTCCTTCTCTTTGTTAAATTAGACATACCCAATTCCAGCAACCGTTCCTTATATGCCTTAGCCTCCAGTCCCCTAATCATCTTTGTTGCTCTTCTCTGTACTCTTTCTAGAGTCTCAACATCTTTTTTACATTGTGGTGACCAAAACTGGATGCAGTATTCCAAGTGTGGCCTTACCAAGGCATTGTAAAGTGGTATTAACACTTCATGTGATCTTATAATAAAAATAAAATCCATATTAAACCAATGCCTTTAGGAGGCTCACAAAAGGTTTAGAAAATAACATACAAGTTTTTGATTTTTCTGAAACTCCTGGGTGGGGGACAAGAGGGAGAGAATGAGACCATTGGTCAACTCTTGCCTGTATTAAGCTATATTCTTAAATGGACGAATGGAATAATCTGCTAGGGTCTTTATATTCACTTTGGATAAAAACCTAGTATGCTGTTTCTTTTTGAGATAAGCAATAGAATATACAGGAAGAGTAAAGTGTGTAAAAAAACATTAAGCAAAAAAAAAAATTGAAAGCATGAGATTTAAAAAAAAGTAAGCAAATCTAAATTATATGAAGACCATTCACTGTTCCTCTTCATACTTTTCTATCCTTGCAACCGTCTTTGCTTTTAGCACCTCTATGCAACACTTCATACACTGCCTTTTGTTCTTCAAAGTTCTCACATCTCTCTTTCAGAGGATCTCATCAACTGCATGGCTTTCTCAAGCCCCTCGTTCTTCCTGAGCTATTCACTCTTCTTTCATATATTTGTTTAGTAATTCAATCCTAATAGTTCTTTCTATATGACCAAACCATCTCAATGTACTTCTTATGTACAGTAGTGATCATTGATTTACATTTGCATTCAAGCACATTCCTTTAGAAGATATTCATTCATGGCCCATTTGTTTTACCCTATACATTTTCCTCTGCCTTCAATTTAATTTTATGTTACTCCTGACATACTGAACTTTGACTTGTAACTTACTTTGTAAGTTATGTAGGCAGAAGCAATCTCTCACAACAGATGTGTATTATCTTTTACTTTTTCATTAGCATTTCACGCATCTCACAATTTCTCTACGGTATTGGTGTCCATGATGAGGGGAAGGGGCTGAAAATTAGAGTTTCATGATTCCTTCCCAGTCTTTGGAGTGTGTGTCATCACACACATGTTTGAAAGAATACTGCTTACATCACAACATTTTGTCTACCATCGTACACTTCCTGCCTCCAGATGCTGATATCTCCATCTATTTGCCTATTGCTGTTGTCTTTTCTGGCTAGGAATATACTGAAGATGAAGGGTAGAAAAGCCAGATTATCCCAAGTTGCATATACTAAAATCAAGACAGCATCATTCAATAAAGTTTGGGAGCAGATGCAGTAGAAGCAGCATTGTTGTTGTTGTTAATTACAAAGTCGTGTCCGACCCATTGCGACCCCATGGACAATGTTCCTCCAGGTCTTCCTGTCCTCTACCATCTTCTGGAGTCCATTTAAGTTCACGCCTACTGCTTCAGTGACTCCATCCAGCCATCTCATTCTCTGTCGTCCCCTTCTTCTATTGCCCTCCATCTGTCCCAGCATTAGCCCTTCTCCAGTGAGTCCTTCCTTCTCATTAGGTGGCCAAAGTATTTGAGTTTCAACTTCAGGATCTGGCCTTCTAAAGAGCAATCGGGGTTGATCTCTTCTAGGACTGACCGGTTTGAACGCCTTGCAGTCCAAGGGACTCGCAGGAGTCTTCTCCAGCACCATCGTTCAAAGGCCTCAATTCTTTTGCGCTCAGCCTTTCTTATGGTCCAACTTTCACAGCCATACATTGCAACTGGGAAAACCATGGCCTTGACTATACGCACTTTTGTTGGCAGGGTGATGTCTCTGCTTTTTAGTATGCTGTCTAGATTTGCCATAGCTTTCCTCCCCAGGAGCAAGCATTTTTTAATTTCTTGGCTGCAGTCCCCATCTGAGGGATCAACAATTTAAATTTTAAAAAAATGCACACCAGTATTGTTCTCTGCCAACCCAAGGAGTAAATACCACATTAAGCTAATAGAAGGGGGAAATCCAGAGTGTCCCTATGTGCCTTCTGATAAATTGTCTGCCTTAACCATTCTTTTCACTAATAAACATCTGAAGATTTTAGGCTCAACCTAGTGGTCTGCTTGCCAAACCAGAAGATGGATTTATTCTTTGGTAAATAAAAGGAGTCAGATTTTTGTTGTTCTTGCTGTTTATGGATGCCTGAAAGTTAATTCCTCTGGATTTTGAAAATGAAGATTATCTTAGAGGTGGTAGGATGGTACCCATACCCACAATACTGCATTTATATTAGTCTACTTTGTTTACCAGAAATAAGGACTGAATAGAAAATCATCACTGAATTAATATCAATTCTACCACTATTTCCTGTAGTATAGGTAGCCCAATGCTAGCATTTTCAGCATTATACCATCATTAAAGTGATCTTCTCTCATCTACCTCCCTACTCCAGCAACAAAATGTATGATGGGATACTAATATTGGGGGAAAGACAGCAAGGAAATAAATGGAAATATTGTAAGGATACTGAAATATTTCCATAAATCTTGAGGTATCCCCATTCCTCAATATCATTTTGGAGAATAACAAATTTCCCAGATTCTACATATGGAGGGAAAACCATAAGTATGATCAGATGGATTTATACCTCTTTATTCAAGTTAGTACAATTAACAATTACAACATAGTAGAAAATATTATTTTTATATTTGTGATTTATCCACATAGCGTTGTTTACTGAGTGAGAAGACAACAGGCATCACAAAACCAAATCTCTTCTTTATTTATAGCTGTTGTCATAGTTCAAATCAACCTTTAATTCAAAATATCCTATAACAACATTTTGAAGCTCCCCCTGCTTAACATTTACATTCATAGTGGAATTTTGAAATAAAAACCAGAAACTTTCATTATAATTTCAAATATAACCAGAGGAACTAGAATCCCAGCCAGAAAAAGTCTAAGCTCAAAGAAAATTCAAATGTCAGGAAGGGAAGAAGATGATTTCACCCCACTAAATAGAGAGAAAGGGAAAAAAGAGTATGGATAACTCATACACATGCACAAAAAAATACTTATGAGCCAACAAAGAAGATAGAGAAACAATGACAAAACTTTGTGAAAGAAAATAAAAGTCTTAAGTTGCATCCATTTCCAGATCAAGCTATGCCCAGCATTTAAATTTGGGCAGAGATGTAATTAAATGCTCATGATTGCCTCTGTTGGATGCTTGCAGTTGTTCTCTTGTGTACCTTGGAAGAAGAATCCGTCTCTTATACTGTTCTTTCCTTTAAACATTTAAGGCATTTTATCTTTTGACTCATATCCTCCAAAGAGAATATTCAAAGAGATGTTTGTATTTTGTTGATTTTTTCCATTCTAGGTCATCATCAGAGTCTTGAATAGCGGATATGTTTTATGGAGATTACAGTGATTAGGGAGGCTGGCAGCTCAATTTATTTGAAAAGAAATTAGTCTAGGGAATGATTTGAACAAGAGGATGACTGCAGAGTATGTGTTCTATCTTTCAGGAAGTCTGGTATCATGTCTAAACTATTCTTAACTCATGGGCTGTTTTGATGAAAATTATTTTTGCACATTGATGCTATATACATAATTAAGAATATTCTTAAACATAAGACATAGATAAATCAAACCCAATAAATGCTATTTTATTCCACCAAAGTCTTGCTGATTATTTCCAAGTAAATATACTTAAGGTTATTTATTTATCTGCTTTTATCTATAGGCTGTTCCAATGTTAGACTCTGGATGGTTTACTTAATACAATAAACATGCAATAAAACCACAGAAAAATATTATCCAAAGAGAGTCCAGAGAAAAGACCAAAATTTTAAGGGCTTGTTTAAACAGAGCCAGGGTGTGGGCCATGCAAATTTTGGGTGGGGTTAAATTTTACAATACACTAGCCTTGTGCCAAAAAGTACATAACTAAAGCAATGGAGATAGTCTGTCATAGAAACATCAGAAAGGGTCGGTTGACCAGTTAGTTAAGTGTCTGTAAGTTAAAACTAATCTAAAATAAATTCAGTCTTATATAGGGTAAA